TCACAAAAAAAGAAAATTACAGACCAATATCTCTCATGAATATAGATGCAACAATTCTGAACAAAATTCTAGCCAACAGAATTCAGCATCATATCAAAAAAATAATACACCATGACCAAGTAGGATTCATACCAGGTATGCAAGGATGGTTCAACATTAGAAAATCAATCAATGTAATCCACCACATAAATAAAAGGAAGGAAAAGATCCTTGTGGTAGAAAAATAATTCTTAGCAAAGAGGAAATCTTAGCTTGCTTCACTCCAAAGACCGTGCTGGGAATAATTCCAACCCTTGACAACTTTGACTTGGTTGCCATCATGAGTTAAAGGAATTTTCAACCTTATATCAGTAAGAGCCTTTTTAAATGGTGCTTGGAAGGAAGTAAATTTTATTGGTAATAAACATGTTGGAGGCAAGCTGATGGAGAAAGGTTACCAAAACCTCAACCTGAGCCTTCTGCTGCTCCTCCTCAGATGACTTTTATCGGAATATTCAATACCATAGTGTTTAGAAAAGAAACCTCTCAGGTTCAGCTGAGAGTACTTTCCTACAAAAAGCCTCCGCAATGACTTCCATTTCTCATTTCTTTTACTGTGATTTGGTTATATGTCTTGATAGGTTTATATGTCCAATGAAGGCGATGATTAGAAATCATTAAAATATAATCATATAACTTCTCTTAGGAGGAGTTAATGGTACAAGCTGTGAGAAAAATAGCCATGTTTTAAAAGTCCAAATGTTTAACACAATAATAATAACTTGCATTTATTGGCCTCTACTGTGTTCCTTGTACTAAGATAAGAAAAAGTAGAGTTGAAGAAAAACAAGTTTAAAAAATGAAACTAGAACTAAAACATTGTACTTACTCTGAAGAAATTCTTACAAAAAGAAATAAAATAAAATGAGATGGACTGAGGGATGCATCAATGAGAGATATATGAGGAATCAATTATAGCAAAAAAGGTAGGATGTAGGTAATTGATATACAAATATTCATGTAAAATTCTTTCAATTTTTTGTATGTTGAAAACTCTCATAATAAAATGTTGGGAACAAAAGCTGTGTGAAAGACAAAAAGAAAGTGATAAAATGAACTAAAAATAAAGCAAGAATAAAATTCTACACTAAAACATTAAAAAGATAAAAAAAGAAGATAAAATTTCAAGAATTAAATTAAATGCAAGAATGGAAGATTAGTGTGTCATGGTTTGAGTTATGTTCCCCCAGAAAATGTGTGTATCAATTTGGCTGGGCCATGATTCCCAGAATTGGCCTCCATTTTGTGATTGTAATTTTATGTTAAAGAGGATTAGAGTGGGATTGTAACACCACCTTTACCCAGGTCATATCTGATGTAAAGGGAGTTTCCCTGGGGTGTGGCCTGCACCACCTTTTATCTCTCAAGAGATGAAAGGGAAGCAGGCAGAGACTTGGGAACCTCTCACCACCAAGAAAGCAGTGCTGGGAGCAGAGTGCATCCTTTGGACCTGAGGTTCCTGTGCTGAGATGCTTCCAGAACAAGAGAAGACTGATGCATCACAAGGACCTTCCAGACCAAGGGAACATTGATGACACAGACCTCTCTCCAGAGCCGACAGAGAGAGAAAGCCTTCTTCTGGGGCTGATGCCCTGAATTTGTACTCGTAAGCTACTGGACTGTGAGAGAATAAATTTCTCTAAAAAGCCAAAAAAAAAAAAAAAAAAAACCTACTTTTTTTTTTTTAAATATTCCAGAGCTCAGGCTTTTAATGTAACTCATCTGTAAATGCAGGTGAAGTGCTGTCTGCGTGAGAAAGTCTTTCCATCTGACTTCTGTGACTGTTGGGAAGGTCAGTCAGGGATATAAAATCTCTCTTTGGTCTAAGGAGATCAGCTGGTGGGCTTCAGGAAGAATGAGGTAAAGGGATTTGCTCTAAGGTGACATGAATGTGTAGACATCACTGTGCACCCCTTAAATACCTGCATCTTTAAGAAGATGACCTTATTTTCTGGAGTAGGGAGGAATCTTATTCTGCCACTTTGTCATGTTAGTATATATATTAATATCAAATTAAAAGATACATTAAAGGTATTTGGGTACAGTGGAGTGATATCACATGGCTTATTGCCACATAATGAAAAAAATCAATTGGTAGCCAGTAAAATATGTATTGTACTGTCTTTCTCTGCCACCATATCATAAAGTGATTCAAGTGTGTGTGTCTTATACTTGGTCAACAGTTCAAATTCACCAACCAATGTCTTTCATTGATGTTTTTAAACCAAGCTGCAAAGTAGTAAACTCTTGAATGTATCTGTATTGTTGCTTTCAAACAGAGGAATGACTAACCAGTTAAAAGTTTGTTATTGCAATCTTAAGCCTTTGGAATTAAAAGAAATTATTGAAAAAAAAGTTGCAAGATTATTAAACATAGCCGAAATATTGGCGTTGTAAATTTTACCGATTTCTTGGCCAAAATGAACAGTTACTGCCAGTTGCAACAACTGTGGCTGTCAAGTATGGTGGCCTTATGGGAATAGAAACTTCTGACATATCTTATTATTAATATATTTTATTAGTATATTTTATTATCCAGTTAGATTCTAATTTGGTGGTTCAGAATGCGGAAGTGATGCAAAGGGTTGTATTGTTAATCATCAGTGCCATTCCCCAATGCAACATTTACTTTACATGCCTGATAGAGTAACGTCACCCAAAAAAACCAAACACATTGCTGTTGAGTCGATTCCAACTCATAGCAACTCTACAGGACAGAGTAGAACTGCTCCATAGGGTTTCCAAGGAGTGGCTGGTGGATTTGAAATGTTGACCTTTTGGTTGTAGCCGAATGCTTAACCACTGTGCCACCAGGGCTCCAGAGTAATGCCAGAACTTGTAAATATTTAAACATTATCTCTCTTTTCCTTCCAGCTTTTCTATGAAGGAGGACCATACTGGTATTCATTTTGCATTTGGCAAAGCAGGGGCATGCCCATCCTGAGACTGATGCAGGAGTAAAAGCAATCTCAGTAGTAATTCCATACAAGCATAAGTTCCACTGGTTACTCTGGCTATTTTGTTTAATTACAATTACCTGTCTCTCCAGGAAAGACAACTAGGGAAAGTGGTTGGTCAGTTAATTGGCAAAGAGATAGGAAGAATATAGATCGAGTACCCACTTTTTGTGGATGTAAAGATAGGGTATTTATTTTCTCCATTTGTAGGTAGATAAAATTTTATTCCAGGGATATGCCTGGTCTATCTCTGGAAGCAGCGGTGATTTAACCACTAGGGAACACAATAAAAATAACGTTCTCATCTTCCCTAGCATAGCACCTTGGGAGGCGTACAGGAATCTGCACCTATTCATTGGTTTTGAAAAAGAAAGAAAAAAAAAAAAAACAACTTTTCTATGTGCCACGTGAGCAATGGACTAGAAATTGAACAATGCTGGGATAAGAAATGAAGGCAGGAGATAAATTACTATATACCATTTCTTAGTTTTGACTGGCATTAAAAGCCACGTTTTCATGCCCCTCAGATAAAAAGTTCCATAAAAGTTTCACAGAACTTGTCTAACATGTGTCACAGTTATCCATTAACCACTGTGTATCTTGCTTCAGTCCCCCAGTTTTATCCCTCGCATGTATTACTAGTTCTTCTGATGCGGAAAACGATGATGTGAGGGATGATGTTAATCATACCTGCCGTGCCTCAAGTCAACATTTATTCTTCTGTGCCTAAGGCAGGAGGGCCGGGGCTTTCTCTCAGCATTCATCTGCTATCTAAATATTTGGAAGCATTGCCTTTCTTTTCCATAGTGAGTGTGTGTATGTATGAGAGAACAACTATGCTTTCCATTTTACATGAATCAAACTAGGGTAACTGCTAGAAAAATGCTATATAAGATCCCCTTTTTTTATTAATAACTTCTGGTTAGCTGATAAATTTTCTGGGAACCAACCATTAGCGGGCAGGAACCATGTCTTATTTAGTGGGGTATACTCAACATCTAGCAGTGCCTGCCTGGCAAACACAACACATAGAATTAGTATAAAAGTGGTGACATTGAAGTTTGTGTTGCTGTCTCAAGTGACTAAATCCTAAAGCATTTATGTCAGGAACATAAAACCATACCTCTTCAGTCCATATGTTTACAGATCAGCCCTCTACAGGCCCAAGTAAAAAGTTTAATTCATAAACTCTTGATGTGTGTTTATATTTTTACCCTTAGAGATTATGAAAATATAAATCTGATGGAAATACTTAAAGAGGATAGCTATTCTCGATAAGCATACTGGCCTAATGATATGATCAAACGCCAACACATTTACCAGGTGTATCCATAAAATTTGCATGGATAGGTTAATATGCTCATTTATGAGTGTGAGTGAGTGGAAGCCTAACAGTGAATGAGTATGGTTTTAAATATGTACTGTAATTTCTGCACTAAGCCATGTGCTGGAATTAGCTAAGGTGCTGTGTTTCCAATTAACACATAACCCATTGCCGTTGATTCCGACTCATAGCGACCCCGTAAGACAGAGTAGATCTACCCCATAGGGTTTCCAAGGCTGTAAATCTTTACAGAAGCAGACTGCCACATCTTTCTCCCGCGGAGCAGCTGGTGGGTTCAAACCACTGACATTTCGGTTAGCAGCCAAGTGCTTAACCACTGCATCACAAGGGCTTCTTTACACATTTAAAAAAAAAAAAAAACGTTGCCATTGAGTCGATTCTGACTCATAGCGACCCTACAAGACAGAGTAGAACTGCCCCAGAGGGTTTCCAAGGAGTGCCTGGTGGATTCAAACTGCCAACCTTTTGGTTAGCAGCCGTAGTTCTTAACCACTATGCCACCAGGGTCTCCTATTAACACATACTCAGTGCCAATTACACCATCATATGAAAAATGCATAATGGCTACCTGAGGTACTGTCTATCGGCCAGTAGGGGGTACCTTTTATTTATGACTTACATTTTGAGAGATGTTGAGTGTTATATCAACCTTATTCAAAGTAATGCTACTTTTGCCAAAGAATAAGTCTTTCTGAACTCCCATGAATTTTTCATGTCCCAAATGGGTTTCTAATCTGTGGTATGTGTGCCAATGCAATTCTGCTGTCAGAGAGCTTACCTTATCCTTCCATGCACATTGGACTGACAGCCAGCCGAGTAAGAAGTCTGGCACATCTTTTATAGTCTATGGTGGAAATAAATCACAGACCCTTGTCAGTTACCTGAACAACACTTCCTGATAAAATAAATAACAGGGTTTTTGTTTGTTTGGTTTTTTGCAAGTCTATCAACTATGGAAGCCATTTATTTATTTAAACATTCTGAATTTTCTGAAAGCAATATGAAAACCATCATCTGCAATCAGGGCTCTAAGTTGCTAATTTAATAGTTTACGGTACTTCTGGGGCTGCACATCACATGGCAAAGGTAACTAACAGAATTAGGGGGTGGAGGAAAGGAAGGGGTAAAGGCAGAGTCTACTGCACAGCTGCTCTCTCTCTGCCCACTTTCTTCTCTCAGTGGCTATCAGAGCTCTTTGCGATAACTGCTTCCTAGGACACGAGGAGATAGGGACTTTCCATACCGTTGTGTTACCTAACTTTTAGGTCATGTGCAGACTGAGTCCCCACCTGACTTGATCGGAACACAAAGCCCTCTGCATTAAAATTCTAAAGAAAGTGGGCCAGAGGGCAAGTCACAAAGCAGAGAGACCTAGACTGGCTGACTAATGGGCCAATTGTGAGAGCAGACCGATTTTCCTTGATATCTTATATAATTTCCCATTTGACTATTCTGATAGGTGTTACTGAAAATAAGTGAGGTCTAGTGATCCTGGCCATAAGGGAATTTTCTCGGGATGAAATTCTATGGAAAGCTGCAGCAGTTTATAAATGTCTAAAATTTATTTCTCAAGAGCAGCAGAATCCAAATAAAAATGGAAGAGTTCATACTCCTAACTGAAAATCTTGATGAATGAGTAAATTGGCAACTATGAACCTGCACAATATGTCAAACAGATAACTCTACTTCTAAAAATATGCCTTCTAAATATTTAGAGTACAAGTTAGCTTGGGTTCAAAAGAGAAAAATGACCTAGGTCATCTGGGCTCCTGGCTTTATTGCTCTTTTTTATCAGTTGCACCACAGTTTTTAGAATAAAATGACCTTAAGTAGATAATTTATCACAGAGATAGAGGATCGTGTAAACTCAAGTGCTGATCTAATCAAAGAATTGCAACTACTTCCCATCTGCAACACGTCTGGAAATCTTAAAGTTGATCACGTTCCCACTAAATACGAATGTTCTCTAAGGCAATGATTTGCATGCTATCATCTGAGAATCTTATTTAAATTCAGATTTTGATTCAGTAGGTCTGAGGCAGGACTTAAAATTCTGCATCAGTGCTGTTGGTCCTGGATCCACGCTTTAGGTGAGAAGGCCCTATGGCTCCTCTCGGGTCTACCATTCCAGGATTCTTTGGATTTTCTTTCATACAGCCTACAGCAGCATAGAAGTGGTGTAACTCCAGCTCTGCAGCTCTCCATGGCCTAAGAAGAGGTGGAAACCAAGCAAGGAGGCACACATCTGAATGTACAGATCTGCCAGTGGCCCACCTCTCCATGGCCCAGGATGAACTGTAACTGTGTCCTGATCACTGCCTTACTTTATGGATGACCTTGGTATCAGGCAGCCAAGTGACTGTGAGCAAAAGAGGTAGTGTATGTAGAGCACAGTGTGATGTATTAGAAAAGGATTGACAGAGCCAGAACATGAGGTTGTAGTCCTCATTTTGCTAAGATCTGTGTGACAGTGTACCATTTAAACCTTTCAAAGTCGATTTCCTCATCCATAAATGTAAGGATTAGCTGTGATGATGCCTAAGATCACTTTCAATGCACCATCTGTGACTCTATTATTGTAAGGCTGCGTTTCATATAAAAATATATAAATATTTAGCAATAAAAATAGAAAGGTTTTCAGACTCCAGGAAGCAGGTTAATAATTCTCAAACAGAAGGTGATTCTATTATAAAGGAAGGAAATAAGGCAGCAACGGTGTACTAGGTAATATGGTATGAATAAAAGGGCAGGTCTGAAGCAGCGCTTGAAAATAATAGAAGCAAATCTGCTTGGGAAACGTTGTCAGCTTGCCTTGGAGTTAGAATGGTGTACTGATAAGAACATGACCAGACAGGCCTTCAAGCCCATTTGTTCCTGCTTGCTTGTCATCTGGTATGTTCCACTCATGTGTACCAGTGTCATTGGTAACAGGATAGTAATACCTCCCTTCCTGGACTGTTGGAAAAATGAATGGATAGAACGTTTGTGAGTGTGCCTGGCAAAGTACCTGGTACTTTGTGATGCTCTCTAAATGAGAGCTGTTATGGTTTGGATTGACTTCACTGACTTAAACAGAAAAAACAACTTCCACTTCATGTCAATTGGCTTTTTGGAAGGCAGGGCAGGTAAGTCTGCTCTGCTGATCTGCTGGCCTCCTCTGGATATTCTCTGAAAGTGGTTACTAAGATATCTGGTATACTTGTAAGACTTTTCTCTGGCCAGCCTTAAAATTAAATACAAATTTTAGTCCCTATTAGAAAAATTGGTTTGGGGCTCTAACAGGCATCACTTCAGTTAATAAATCACTCGTTATCATTGTGCATGGTGTGAAAAGCACAATGAGCCCCTTCTGGGGAAATGAAAGACGTTTTGCTGTGGATAGATAGCCAGAAGGAGCATGCTGAAGAGAACGATGGGGACATTTTTATACTGGTCAATGAAAGGAAGCCTACAAGGAGGAGAGACAGTGACAGCTGAGAGCGAGGCTGATGAGGACAGCTCTGCATTTCTGATCTGGTGATGAAGGCAGGCAGAAATGCAGAGGTTTGAAATTGCAATAAAATTCCTGGATGATGAGATTGTAATTACTGATGGAAAAAGTCTCTGCTCAGGGTACTGGAGATGGTCAAGGAAGTTCAACCAGACTGGTTCAGGTCAATCTGATTTTTTACTCTCAGACTATAGACTCGGTGGTGGAGTAATTTTAGCAATTCATTCTTAACATTTGTTTGTCATAGTTCAGCAGATACAAATACAGGCATCATCCAGAATTCATAAATGAAACAAGAATGTGAATTGAAGAAGGCCATTCCAAGGGCTGACGAATTCCAGTGAATGTAAATAATTTTCCATTTTGTCACAAGTTTTGCTGCAGAGTTTAGGTGTCTTCTTCAATGGTCTGGACACCCTGGTCCCTAGCTCCGTAGTTAAGAAGGAATATATATTCGCAACTATGAATTTTAAAAGGCAGGGTTCTATCTAATGAAAGGACATGAAGTATACTGCACAGAATCACTTGTCTACACTGTACTCTTATTTATAAAGAAATTGACAGATCTTGTCACTTACATGCAGGAATGGTGCAGTCTCTGGTGTTGTGATAGAGTCTATGGAAGTGTTTGCTGCACTTTGGGCTGAAATAAAGAGGACCTATAACATAGAAGAAGAAAACAGATGATAAGGATTCAGCAAGATGCGAAGGAACTTAGGGAGAAGTGAAGGAATGAAAAGAAGCTTACCTGTAAGATGTTTTAAAAACCTGTCCTTCATCCTTAGATCTCGGGGAACAATTTCTGTTTCGGGGGAAGAAATTGGAAGTGAATTAGCACATTGCCTGAAAGAAGCATTTTTGTTCTCATGTCATCTTACACGCACATTGAAGAAAGTTATTGGAAACTCTGCATTAGCCATAGTATTTGCACTAAATAAAACAGACTGGAGCCACCCTTGATTGTTATCTATGACAGAATGTGGAAACTTGTACTCAGGGACATAATTTTTCTTCAAACAGAATGAACTACTCACAAACTCCAGTGTTATCTGTCCAGTCTCTACCATCAGGATACAGACAGCAATCACTAAGTTATGGGGAGAAGGCTTTTTTGACATTTTTGATGGTGCACTTCCAGTATAAATCACTTTTAGAAACTTTCATTTTGCAGAGTTTGAGAATCAAATCCCAAAACCTCTTTCAAAGTTCTGGGAAGAGAATCTGACCCTTCAGCCAAAAAATTTGTTATAGAATTTACTTGTTCCTGGTATATGTTTAGATAAAGGATTAAATGCCTTCAAAACCACCTGTTAAGAAGGCTGGTGTAAATAAACTGAAACAGACATTAACCTTGTTTATAGGATAAGCATCCAATTCCCAGGGAAAGACTCTTCCAAGCAAACTTCTCGCTTTAAAGCATGTCTTGTTTTGCACTTGTAAACAGCAGTGGTTTCACGGACATTCCTTCTCATTTCAGCTTTTGTGCTTTGTTTATTACAGTCATCTTTAATCATTTTCACTTATCTGTTCCGGACTAATAACTTAGCGATGATTGTATGTGATGTCACACTTTATTTATCTTTGCATAAATACTCCTTAGCTCCTTCCCACATCTCATCTGAAGGAACATTTCCATTAGAATCCTACTCACTTGCAAGGTCTAGATCTCTCTCTGATGTCAGTCTTCATTTACTCCTAACTTTAGTCAGTCTATAGAAAATTGACCTTATCATATTTGACCTAATTGTGTCATGAAAAGCATTAAAGCTTACACGTTTTCCTCAGAAATTTCCCATGGGGCAATCACTCTGGGAAAGGCTCTACGGTAGGGGAGAGCCTGGAAACATTTCCTTCAGCTGCAACTGCTTTGCTGAAAATATTTCCATTTCCAAAATAACATATGCCAGTTCTATGCAGAAATTACTGACACTGCTAACAATTCGTACATCTTAGAAGTGAGCCAGTTAGGATTATCTGTGAGGTAGATATACATAAACCTCTTACTGTTTTCTGTTTCTTTGTAAAAATGTTTCCAAGTTTTGCTTCTGTTCTTTTAACAATCAGAATTGATTTCTTTTTAAAATGTGTTTTCTCAAAGATACTTCTACTTTCAACCAAATACCAATTCTAGTGTCTTCTTTGCTATGAAAGTTAGATAAACATACTCAAGATTGAAGCTGTGAGAAGTAGTCCATGATCATATGTGTCTGTGGGGGTGGGGGACGTGGGGAGAAGAGACTTGAGAGAAATCGTGTCAAGGAGAGGCTGACTTACCAACTCTTTGCTCCTCCGGATACACTCCGTAGTCAGTGACTTCCCTACGGCCCAAAGTATAGTCATGTTTGCTGAAAAACTGCAATCTCTTGTATTCCCCCAAGTGGTATTTTTTAAGTTCCTGAATGATCTCCATGATGAGGTTTAAGAGAGTCTGTCTGTCTGTGATTTCTCGAGATTCAGCTCTCCCTCGGCACGGTCCCACCGTCGCCAGCAAGAACACCAGCGCCAGGAGGACAGGACGCCTCGGTCCACTCATGTCAGTTTGCACAGGAAGGGTCGGGACGGTGCGTTAAGTTCAGAATGAAGGAGGAAAAACAATCCGACACTCTCTCCGGAATCTCTGTTTACTGAAAGAAAGGGGGTGGGGGGAGACCGGCACAGAAAGTCTGAGGGTTGGTGGGGGAGGGGGAGAGAACACTCAGTGAAACCATCAGGGATGGAGAACCGGGAGAGAAAAGTGGCCAGCTTCCCACTTAAACTGGGGTCAGAGGCGGCCACCTGGCGCTGGAAGGGCCCTGTTCACGCAGTCTCCCAGGCGCTCTTCTGCGCTCGGCACTCCCGGAAGGCTGCTCTCCCCAGCCCCACCTCACAGCTCCAGGGAGGGAGCCTCGGAGCCTCCAGCGCCCCGAGGAAGTGTATCTTTCCCAACCCCCGGGCCGCAAGCGGGCGCTGCGGGGGCGACTCCGCCCTGGGCCGGGCGGGCGGGCCAGGTGAGACGGGAGCGCGGCTGCGAACAGCCGCGAGAGGCTCGACAGTGCTCCACCCGGACTCCCGGCCCGAGAACCCGCTCCAAGGCGAGAAACACGCTAACCGATGCTGTGATTTTAAACTTTAGTCTCTCCCGTGCCCTTTAACGCCCTGGCTGCACTGCCTCTTCCCTCCGTTTGCCACCCTCCCGGAATCCCACCCATACCCGGCTAGCCCTTGGAACTTTTCATATAAATTATCCTGTCCGATTCTGTATCACCCTGTATCAACGAAATCTCTTATTATTATTATTAAAAAAAGAAAACATATGATGCTCTGGCCAGCGTGTTTGTGGGGTGAACACTTTGAAGTTGTTGTACCCTCTGTTATGCTCCCCTCACCTCCCTAAAAAAAAAGAAGAAAAGAAAGCATATGCATCTTAGATTAGTGATCGTGCGCCCACTTTGGGCTCCTCCAAATAAGTTTCTAAATCAATGCCTTTTTTTGGCCCGGTTGGGTCGCCGTCCGGGGACCTGAAGTAGCGACCGCGCCCTGGAGGAGCCCCTCCGGCGGCCCCGACTCTGTCCCCGAGGCGGAGGAGGCGCCACGCGCCCCGAGCGCTCCGCCGCGCGCCGGCGCCTTGTGCAGGGCACCCAGGTACCGGGAACCACGGGCGCGGGCAGGGAGGCTACCGCATCCCCAACCCCAGGGCGCCCTGACCCAGACCCTGTTCGCGACTGCCAGGCTTCTAGAACCCCCGGCGGACGCAGAGAGGCGGGAAGCCGGGAGCCGAGGGAGGGGACGCCAGCCGCGGCGCTTCGCGAATGACTGCCAGGGCCACTGCCAGCTGCTTGGCCACTTGTCTGTCGGAGCGGTGCGAGGCGGCGGGCGTGGGGTAAGGGACGCGAGCCCCGGCCTGAGAGTTACCTGCCTCCGCGCCCTGGGAGCCGCCGACGTCTGTCCCGACGTCTGGGCACTATCCCCGCTGGCCCGGAGCCGCCACGCGCCCCTCTACTCCATGGCCGGCGGCACCTCGGCTTATATAGCTTATAGGATGCGCGGGACCGCGGCGCCCGGTGACACGGTCAACTCCAAGTGGGTGGAAAACCGCAGCCAGTCCTCGCGGCCGCCTTCCGAGGGAGCGCTGTGGCCCAAGTTCGCTGGCCAGCTCTTCGCTGCGGGTCAGCTCCGCCGCTTCTTATTCTCGCGCCTGCACACGTAGGGTGCGGGTCCCCCGGGGGTTCAAAAGCCGGAGTCTTTAATTAGAAGCGCGTTAAGAAGCCGCTGAAATATTCATACCCTTTTGTGTGGATCTTCGTCAGACCCCCACCCCCACCCCGCCCCAATCTCTCCCTCTCCCCAACCCCCCCTTTCTCTCTATTTCCCTCCGTTCCTGTCACTTGTGACAGGATGAGAAGAAACGCCTTTACCAGGAACTTGGATCTGTTTTTGTCTAAATGTAGATCTTGGGGCTATTAAAAAAGGAGCTGCTGCTTGATTGCCTCGACATTTAATAAGTCAATTACAGTCTATCTATTTTGGAGGGATCATATGGTGTCCCTGGGGAACCACTCTAACGACGCCAAGGCGGTCTGCACCATCCTAAGCCCCATCCCTGGCGAGTGCCCCCTCCCCAAGGCCGCTCTTCAAAGAGGGGTGAGGGCAGCAGTGAGGGTCAGTGGGCTTGAAAAGAAGCAGAGAAAAAACAAAGTAAAAAGTTCAGTGCAACAGCTACCTGACAAAGGTATGTGCGAGCGTCCCCCTCCCTCTCCACCCGGCATCCTCTTACTAGAACATACCTACCCATTTTATCTATGGCTGCGTAAAAACAACGTTACATCAGTCCCTCTTTGAGACTGTGCTGTCCCAACCTGCCCTGCCTTTGAGTGTTAATGCTTGTTTCAACTTCTCCAGCAGGCTGACCATTCTCTCCCCTTCCCTCTGAAGGGTTACAGGAGAGAAATCTCTGACTGGTCCCTTCTTGGGGCACTTGCCTCGAGGGCTAAGTAATAAAGTTTTGGTTCTTTGAATGTAGGCAGACGCATCTGTGACAATTGGACAATTTACCTCCTTTAATTTTTTTTTCTTGTAAAATGTATTACCAATCAGTTGAGCACTTTCCCACTTTATTGGCACTTTCTGGGCAAGAGCTGGATGCCCTCCAGGAAAAGAGGATATAATTGGGAAAGGTGTTCTAAGTACAATACCAGAAAGGGAGAGTATGGACAAGAATTAAAAGCCTTCACCATTTACAGGGGCGGTTACACAGAGGCAAAGACGCAAAAAATGTTGCCAGTGTTCACGTGCATGTAGGCTAAATAGTTCATTGACACAGGACAGACTTTTAGATTGCTAAATTTTCCAATAACTCTCTGTATTCTCTCTCTCGCTTCTCTTCCCTCTCTCATTCCCTCTTCTCTCTCTCCCTCCCTTCACACTTTCTTTGGGATGAGGGATGAGAATGTACTTGGTGGAGTGGGGATGGGATCGGTAGAGTAGAAATGGAAGATATTAAAATGTGATCATCTAAATCCCCCCCTCTATTCTGGTATGTGTTTATACTCTGCTCTCTTTGAAAGTAACTGGTTTTGCTTTCAGGATTGACATTTTTTTTTTCACCAATATGACTAAAATGTGAAAGTTTCTGTTAAAATATACTCAAGAGAAATAAGAATTCATAGCAAAAAATCTTAGGCAGATAAAATGAGGTATTTTTCCTTTCTCCCTTTTCTCCCCTGTATAAAAAGAAATGTAAGCTCCTTTTGCAAGAGCGACGCCTAGTGGCCAACGCTTGCCTCCTGCTCTAGCCATTCCCTAGTCTCATTCAGCATCCATCACTTAGCCTGGCCCTTGTAGGGCGCACAATTTCAGTTTCCAGTATAACAGAAGCATGTTGTAAAATATTGTGGTATAAAACTGTATTTGGGAAAAATATCTTGCTGTGGTGAAAAAAGCAAACAAATTAGCCCAATCGCATATTATCTTAAATTTACATAGAATCTTTCCTTTTTAATAGTATTTTACTAAACCAAAAGCCAGATTTATCTCAAAAACTGCCAAGAAGATATATCCCTCCCGCCCAAAATTCCACCAACCAAGACGGTGTTGCCAGTTATTAGTATTATTTTTTTTTTCTTTTGCAGTTTTTAATGGGACAGACAAACCAATTCCTTCTGAATACATCTCATGACTCCTTTCTACCACCCAATCATATATGCCAGCACTTCAGCCCAGCTCTTTAGAGACTTTCATGCATAAACGATGACAGCACAGTTGGTCCTTGGTTGGTGTTTAGATTCATGAGATCTGGTAGTTAAGAGTCAGGCAATTCATGTGTCAATTCATCCATCTTTGCAAAGCTCTGGGCTGAAATAACCCCAGGTACCTCTCTTTTTATATAAATCAAATTTACCGACTTGTTCAACTTGCACAGTTAATAAAAGAGTGCACTGATTTATAAAACTGTGCTGAAGTTTTCAATTTTTGATATCTTTGGGATGAATTTCTTGGAGATTTCCAAACACCAGAAATGTCTGCGTTGTACCCATTGTTAACATAATCTGATTAACTAAATGGATTGGCTTTTCTAGTTAAGGCCAAGTAAAGCACATATACATGTACATGAAGACGTGGATTTGTATTTGATAAATCACTTAGTCTCTCTACTTCTTTTTGTGTAAAATGAAATAGTTGGACTAGATAGTCTCCGAAGTCTAAAACCGTATAATTCTATGATGGTTGCCAAAAAAAGTTTGAAAACAGCAAAATGCAATGTTTCCTACTAGAAGCTCCAGATAATTTACTTGAGACCATCAATGCGAGTGTCACCATCTGTGTTCAGGCAAGAAGAGGTGATATGTTCATATTAAGTAATTTAATTCCCTCCTCTAGTAAGTGAACAGTTTCTGCTATAAGGGTCCAAAGGCTGAAAAGATAAAGAGAGAAAATTAAGCAACAAATTACATTCTAGGACTACTGGGAAAAAAATAATGTATTTTGCTAGATTTGATTTAGTTTTGCATCCTTCTTGAGAAAACTGTATTGGATCACAGGAAGAAAATTAACTTGGTTTGGGGGGAGTTAAGTCGTGTTTTATCTACTTTTCCTGTATGTCTGTGTCATGAAATGAACAAGTTACTTTTTCAATTTATAAACGGTATAAAGCTCCAATGTTTCAACTACAACCATTCTTCTCTTTTCCTATTAAGGTATATATTTGAGATGAATAGTCACCTCCAAAACTTCTAAAATAAACACATATTAACTATTAAGTGAATCGGTATATTTGTTCAACCATTATGTTAATCATGTAACAATCTAACTAAACTCTTGTTAAAGAGAAAATTATCTTTTATAAAGGATAACTTTGTATGCTCTAAAGAAATATTGTTTAATGTTTAACTTTTACCAATTCTGTTATTTTTACTATCAATATATTATTAGTATGCTAGCAATGTACCAGAATATGTAAGAAGTATTTAGGAAGACAAGCTCTCTGACAGTCCAATCTTTCTAGTATCAATGTAACAAATGTAACTCCTTATAAGTAATAATGCATGCATGATATCT